AGACAGCAGATTGAGAGAAAAGGCAGGATCTTGGCAATATTTTGGAGGTGAAGAAAAATAATTTTTACAAATATTTTGGATGTGACCATCAAAAGCCTAGTAAGAATTAATTCTAACATCTAGGTAATTGACAGAGGTAGTTACTGGAATGCTATGAGATATGAGATATGCATGCTGGATCTGGCGAGTGGTGCCCAGCAGTAATTCTGTTTTACTACTGTTTAATTTTAGAAAATTACACTTCATCCAAGACCCACCCTCCTCAAGACAGACTCTAAGATTGTCAGAGGCTACAAATGCATTTGGAGCTTTCCTTACATAAAGCTGGGTGTAGTCAGTGTAGCAATAAAAATTAATATTGCTCTTCCTGGTAACTTAATCTAATAAGAGCAGGTAGTGAGGAGACCTCATCAAGAAGATGACTTACACTAATTAAGAGTAACATATTCACATGTATTAAAAATATATGACTGTTACGACCCCAAGTGTCTAGGGGAAAAGGGGTGTAACATTTAGGATAATTCTTTTGGAAGCAGGGGGGGTTTTGGTGAGGGACTAGGAAGCGTGATAACAAGAGTAAGGAACAAGAGTGGTACCAAAGGAAAGAAAATAAACAAAAATGGAGCTGGCTAGGACAGTGAGGGAAAGCTAATCCGACTACAAAAAACCCAAAACACACGGTCTTCGGCGTCTTCAACACCCTAGCTAATCTGCACTGACTACCCAAAACCATACAAGACAAACAGCACTCACCTGTACTAAACTAGTGTACTAATACAAAATCAACTAAGTGTGTAAAGTGTACCCAACAACCTAAACTAACCTTATATACAAAAGTTCACACAAAAACACAAGTGAACCAAGAATACAAATAAGGGAAAACATGAGTAATCAACAGGAGCAGGGTACAAAAGAACACAAAAGTTGAACATGTAACACTGGGGCAAGGTAATGGCAAAACAAGTATGAACACACAAACGAAAGTACAAAGAAACTAACAGAAAACCAACAAAACAACAAAGCTAAAGCTATACGAAAATACACACACACAAAGCAAAACAAAGCAACAAACGAAGCGGAAGCAATAACCAGAAGCAAAGTGATAACCAAAACCAAACGGGACTAAAGTCAAATGAAAGGCCTCCTCTTCCTGAGGGCCTCCATGTTAAATAGTGAATAAGATGTGTTCTGATTGGCTGAGAGCTAATTAATGATGACATCATACTGAAACAGTGGAGTGATGGTGGACCAATGGGGAAGAGAGAACAATCAAGGGTCAGCAGTGTGGAACATAGAAAAAACACACACAGAACACACACTGGGACGTAACAATGACTACAAACAGTTTAAGACTGTTACTGAAAGTCCAATGGTTTACCTAAGACACTCTAAGAGGGTAATATGAGCTGTAGTGTCAGATGCTGTAGTGAGGTCCAATAGAATTAACAGATTTTGATGCCCTGCATCTGTAGCCTTGTGCAAGTCATTAGTTACTCTAATGACTAATGCAGCTCCTGTGCTATGGGCAGCTCTAAACAATGACTGAAATCCTTCAGTTTTATGCAAGATGGTGTTGGAATTAAGTATCAACAGCCCTTTCTAAGATTTTAGTTAAATTAATATAGCTAAAATAAGAATATATAATTAAGAATTTGTAAAAATAGCTATTTAAGAAGACATAATTTTAATAATGTCTTCATTAACTACAAAAAACAGCAAAAGACACAACCAAGTCCTGCTTGTACAGTATTATGAAGACTGCTTGATTGCTATAAGTGACAAGTGGAGTGACAGTGAGAGAAATTTGTAACAGTTTAATTTTGACAGTGTAAGATTTCATACTGAAAAGACTTCATGATCCTTTTTTTTGTAAAAACTTTAGATCTAACAATCTGCAAGGTTTATAACAGCTCCCTCATTGAGTAGGACAGAACCCATAAAGGTGAATAGCTGTATTTTTTTTTACTTTTTGAATTTGCCTCACTGGTAATAGTTAGAGATCACGTTTCTCACCATTCAGCTGCTGTTTGTCATCAGTCTCTGTTCTTGTATAAGAATGGTTGCTCATTCGAAAGACAGTAGCATCATTTCCCCAATAATCAGTGTAAAGTCCAACAAATAGTTCCCCCCCTAGAAAACAAAATCATGTTGTTAAAATAAATCCATTTATATGTCATCTTATTGATATATTCAGGTTTTTAATGTAGAACATGAATCAAGGTTTTCATAAAATGTATAACAAAAGTGGGTAAGAACAATGCAGAAGCCCCACATTTAAAGATACAGCATGAAAAGACCCTGAATTATGATAACAGCTCCTTAATTTGACTGCAGAGAAATAAACCACAGTGATAAGATGGAAGACTAAGCCATAGGCATTCAATTGTATGTTTGTTTAGAGCTAATGTGAAACAATTCAGAGGAATTGTTCCAGGTGTTATATTGTTTAAAGTGTTGTAAATTAATTAAAAATGCAAAATAATACGTTCTTGACAGAAGTAAAGCTTCATGAATTTCAGGTTGAATTTGCCAGATGGCTGAAAGTACAGTATTTAGATGTTGATGAATGTAAATTGATGGACGATATACCAAAGTATACCAAGTAAGATATGACTATTATTTAGCTAACTGGCAGAATCCAAAAGAAAGAAAACCATTTGTATGTTTAGGGTTAAAATAATTAGATAAGATAAGATCACTTTATTAGCCATATACAATTTCTTGTATTAGGAATTTGTCTATTCACATACCCCAGCTTGCTCTCCGTGAGACACACAGATATGAAGAGAGCATGGGGTCAGAGCACAGGGTCAGCTATTGTACAGTGCCCCTGAAGCAATTGGGGTTAAGGGCCTTGCTCAGGGGCCCAACAGAGAAGGATTTCTCTGCCGGCTGTCTGATTTGAACCTGCAACCTTCCAGCCACAGGCACAGATCCTTAGCCACAATGCCACCACTCTGCCCCCATGCATAATCAGATGTGTGACTTGTAATATTAGAGACTTTTCAGAAGCAGCAAACTTCTAAAACAAAATATTTAAACTGACAGTAAATCCAATAATAACACAGAGTGCTGTTGGCCATAGTCTATACCAACACAACAACTAACAGATGTGATAAAAGCCAATTTAGAACTCCAAATACAGTATGTAGGATCAACTGGGCTTGATGGGCCATTGGTTTGTAATAATTCTTATGTCCTTATGATCTCCTCAGAGTTGTACTGTAGATAATTTGTCTACCACATTATGAATGTTAAAGTGTGATCTTAATGGTAAAGCAAATAATTCCAATAAGTGTGGTGTGAGTGTTGTAATGAGAAACATCTTAGAAGACTCAGCCCTTAGCCACAGGCATATGAAAGTGACTCCTTGTTCCAAGTTGTTTCGAATTTAGGAAGGTTTTGAATTGGTTTGTGGTACCTCATTACCTTCCAGTTTGCTAGGGTGTAAACTCTTATATGGCAGAAGTAGACCTGACATACCCAACACTCCCAAAATGACTTTTGCGTGTACAAAATGTATATGGTTTTTAGGATCTTGATTAAACTCTTTAGCATATTTTGTCATTAATGAAGCACAAATAAAGCATTTTTCAAAGATGCGCTCCAGAATTCTGTGACACGAAAACCTGAGTGACAGAATAATAATGACCAAAATATGATAATATAATTATTTATACCATCATATACGAATATATAGCTGTTATAGCCATAGATGTCACATCTATATATTTTTCTTTTGTATCTCTGAGTAGAAATGAAATTAGAAATACTCACTTGACAATGTTGAAATGCACGGGCTATTTGGATCAAAGGGGCAGCGGCCTCTTCCACTTTCAATGTGGTTGGTCTCAAGATTAAACAATCTGTCCTAAAGAAGAATATGTATGTTTAGACATTAAGAAGTTATGCCATTTTTAATGCTATTGACCTGTTGTCAGTGTTAGCAATAATGGATCAACTCGGAACTATTTTGCCAAACTCTCTTCTTCTGTAAAATAGCTGGCAATAAAAAATAATGTTTTGGCCTAAAACAATAATGACAGCCATGAAATCCAAAAAAATATACTTTAACTTTGAATTAATTAGTTGTTGAGACTTCAACATACTGGCCATTTATTTTTGTAGGGCAGAATTTTATTTATAGAATGTTAACAGTCAAGTATAGACTGAACCAGAGGGTGATGTGCTTTTTTTTTTACTCCCAACACTCAGTTCATACAACAGCTTGCAATTGACTGCTTTTAAGTTTAAGATTGTGTTGCACTATAATGGAGAGCAAAACTTCACTTTTTTCAATCTGATTGAGCTACAAAGACTTAATTGAGTCCTGAATTGAACTAATAATTAGCTTAATTGTAATGTTTGAATTGCTTTTAGGTCCTGAAATTCAATATACAAATAAACCATATCATTTTATAAGTTAACTAAAAATCTCAATTTTAATTACTGAAATTTAATAATTAAAGGTTCATTTAAGCCAATGATAACTTAGCTGCAAAGAAAAGCAGAAGACAAAGTGATCCCCAATGAACAGGACTGATAAACATTGATTTAGGTTACACATCAATACAGGGGTGTATGAGAAAAATAATGTTCCATAATTGTGAATCATTCCACCACTTTATTACTTTTCACGTCAAGTAAAGGCACCTAGTACATTTAGTTCAATATCTGAATTCCCATATCACACGCTGATATCAACAGCACAGCCATACCAAGCTCAGAGGCCAACAACAAATTAATGACAGATAATTCGAATAACCATGTATGTCATTTCACCTCATGAACAGCATGTTGATCTATAATGGTTTATATTGGATCCAGTCTTTCATGGAGCTTTGTAATGAAAGTCAGCTGGGGCCAGATGACTGTCCTTTTGCCAAACTTCTCTTCAGAGACAAGAGTGTGACTAATGAGAAATCTTTCCAATAGAGACATAATGAAAAGGAAATCCTTTTAAAATAAAAACATCTCTGTTGTCTGGATTAACCTCAAAACAGGCCTTCATGGAAATTTGAAAAAAAAAGTATTTAATATTTTCACAAAAATGGATAATAATGTTTTTAATCATCATAACTTTAATAAGAGAAAATAGGTCATTAAAGAGTTTCTTATTGTATCTAGTGGTTTGAATTATATTTTTTCCTAAAGCTTAAGTGCTTGCTTAGCATAAAGTATTGTATATTCTTGTTAAGCTTCTAACCCAATATGGATAATGATTTATAAGTGTTGCCACTGCTGAGCAGTTGCACTCTGTAATCACTCAGCTTATTACATACAGTATTGCTCATAAAATGAAATGGACTGAACATTACAATCTTATCTCTTTACATGAGACAGCAGTGGATCTGGTTAATGCAAGTGTCTGTATGGTATTATTCAATAAAATATTACGTCAAGAATCCATAAATAGAAATTTATTTGGATCTTTAATTATGTTTAGGTAATTGATTTTAATGTCTTAATCAATCATCTATATTTAAGTATTTCATATTTCCATAATGACATCAGGACTTGTTTAATTTCCTTGCCAGATAACTTTTTGCATTGAAGCATAATATACAATACATAACAAAAGCACTGAGTGAACTTTAACCAGTTTTGGAAAGAATATAATATTTTTAATCCTGCTATTAATTCTGAATCGAATGGTGCCCAGAATTAGCACCATTAATTTAAGGTACTTAAATTCAGAGAAGATCAAGTAAAGGTTTATTTCACACTGAATAGATAGGAAAAGAAAACACAACATTTTGGCTGTGGATCCACATTGTCTGGGTCTACCAAGAAATAAAACAAAATCAGAAAAAATCTGCAATCAGTTCTTTATGGTTAATATCACATCATGGAGTAGGAAAATATTTTCTAATTAATTTTGTACTCTTCACATCTCTGATTTAGAGATTCAAAGAATAAATGAGAACATTCATCCATTTCACACAGGGCTTTCAAGCCAATATGGTTCACATTTATAAGGTGAAATTTCCAGCTCAATTGGATTATGGTGCTTGGAAAGGTCTTTTTCATGTTAACATGATAGAATGCAGCACCTGAATTTCATAAAGCCCACCAATGCACACAGTGATTGAGGGAAAATCTGGTTAGTTTTAAACCTTTAGAAACATCCATTCTATTCTTTAGAGAGTAGATAAAACTTTTTTTTCTGTAACGCCTGATCTCACTATTTTTTTATCATTGTTGTTAAATGTTCACGTTTTGAGGATTTGAGGATTTTTGAGCATGCTTAAATCATGTTATGAAGAATGCTAAATGATATGAGGATTCACCTCGTAAAATATCAGGTTTGGGATTTCATAATTATATTTTCAAAGACTACATTCTGGAAGAAAACAAAATCAATATTTATGCATTTTGCCACAACTGTTCTAGGAAGAGTCAATTGGGAAATTGTTAAAATATATCAGAATGGTTGAATACAGATGAATGCAAGTTAGATTAACATCCATTTCAATTTCACAGCTGCAGGTTATGTCAGTGCTGACATAAACAAGAACAAAAATACAAAATGAAAACTTAGATGTATAAGCTGATATCTACTGTTTGAAGAAGCTCATAGCACTACTTTAAAGACTTAAATTGTTGATCTAAACATGCTCCATGAGGCATCATTGGATCCAACAGATATGATGAACTTGGAAGACAGTCATCCTCAACTGTGAGAAAAGCTAAATGAGAGATACTGTACATGATGTTCAAAACAAAATTCCTAAATTTTAAGAAAAAGGAGCTTTGTGTTGGTGTGACATTCGTACATTAGTACTTAAACATTAATGTGGTGGCTAGAAGTTCTGGCTCTAGGGTCTTAGGTTTGGTTATGAATTGAATTGCTTTCTGTGTGGAAATATTTTTATGTACTCCCTGTAGTCATACTGGTTTTCTTCCATCTTCTTAAGACATGATGCCTACAGTAGGTTAATTGGGGTCTCTAAATTATCCCTCTGTTTATATGCATGTTTTTGCCCAACCTTGCCTCCTGTGTACTTGTGACTTGGGATGGAATATGGAATAGTAACCCTTGAAGGAACAAGTGCCTTTCTATTAATAGATTAATGGACTTTTTTAGCTCATCAGTTTTTTGGAAAGTCTTGACCTTTTCCTTACTAGTCTCTTTTCATCACTCAGATGTCTTTGACTGAACTGCTCAGACATACAGTAGCATAAAATGAAATAAAAATGTAGGCATTTCATTGATGGATGTATAAAAAAGATTTTACTGCATTTCTAAAATCCTGTGGAGTTACTCTATTATTATGAGAGACATTAAGGAAAATAAACTTTCAAAATATGCATACTGTATTATCGGAAAACAAAAATGTCAAAACAATGTAATTAGAAGACTCATACAAATAAAATCCATAGCACAGCACATTCCAATAGCTTACCACTGAAATGGATCTTAAAAATTCATGATTTCAACAATTGAATGTTATGTTTATTTTGGTCTAAATCATATATGCAACCTGTCCCACAATTGGCCAATTACTCCCTAGAAGAAAAATGCCAAACATGTCAGAGCTCATAATGATATAGCTTGAAAATGCCAATGAGTATAATGGTCAGATTGTCTTACACTTTCATTACTCTTAATCTTTGTCTTGTTCTTATATGGTAAATTATCTAAAACTGTAAAAAATAAGATATAAATTTGTGTCACAAAAATCAGCCAGCAGCTGTTTTATTTTCATTTTATTAAGCAGATGTTTCTAGTTCTATGTTTAAGATTTATTTGTCTTACTTATCCTTTAAAAAGGATAGAATTGTAAATCTTCTGACATCTTCCTTATTAATCATCACTATAATAAAATTTCAACTTGAGTTTCAACTTTAAACTTATGGTCTTATACTGATGGTCTTATGACACTTGCTGAATGAGTAATCACTTAAAACATTGCTAGAAGACCACACATAAAATGCACTTGACCCCCGAAACAGATGTATTCATGAGGCACATTCGGAGGAAGTTCTTTTTGTCTTTCAGAAATGTTTCTCAGTTGGAGTGGGTTCCTATGGGAGACCTGGAATGTTTGTTTTCATTCTGTGCCTGTTGATGCAAATCCTCTTCTTGAATAATGAAAAAATGAGCACAAAAACAAACTCACTAAATGTCAGGAAACAAATGGAGGTTTGACCTTAGGAAGATATATAATAGAGTTCTTTTATACATTTTTCACTCCTGTAGTATTTAACATAATTATTTTGCTTATGGTCAGTCACCAAATTTAGTTTTTGATAACTTGCTAAAAGACTGCTAATTTATTCTTAATAGCTGTACATTGGGGCTTTAATAATGATAAAAGTTTAAAGCCCCTGTTAGAATATACATGGTGACTCAATATGAAACTTGCACAAAAGGAAATATACTAAAAGTGAATTTGTTTATAATAAGAGAATCCCTACCTGTTGTATTCCATTAAAAAATAATGTTCTGCACATTCTGAAAAAAAAAAAGAATTCCTGCTTCTCTCTTGCATAATCAATGTGAAACTAGAAATTCTGAATAATTTGTCCTAACATACTTAACAGACTTTGAGGGCAAATTTATAGAACATACAGGAGCTACAGAATCCCTAAGAGAGGAACAGAGGGTTCTTCATTCAAGTCCTCACTATGAATGGTAAAATGATTATTTTCTACTGGTGCCCAGATGACAAGCAGAGATTACCTGCAAAATATTTTTTTCCTCCTAAGAAATAAGCATTTAAATTAATTGCTTCTTATTTTTTTCTAATTCACTTTTTAACATTTTTACCAAGAGTTACCAAACTCTTTTTTCCATTTTATGCCACAGTGAAACATACCTCCTGTAAATACAGTACCCACTGTATCTTAAAGCAAACGTACTTAGCACTTAATAGTTACATTTAGATGCAGCCTTACAATATGGTAGTGCTCCCATGAGGGCCAGCCGGGAGAAGGGTGGGGGATTAGGTATGTGCAGTGGAGTAATGAATAGTCTATTTTACTGGGTCCAGCTGTTTCACTCCATTATTTTTTTTTCAGGTTTGGTTTCTTGTTGTGCTGCAGAACATGACCTGATGCTTTACAAACAGGAGTGCCGTGGCTAGCTGAGTGGTTTGGAGTAGTTCCTTCACAAAAGTGTCATTGTCTTTTAAGTGTCACCTATATTTCAATAGCAGTCACTACAATGTTATAAAAAACTATAGCTATAAGCTATCAAAAATTAATATCTGACATTTTACGTTTTAGATCATACTGTAGGTCATTGACCAATGTAAAGGGCCAATGTGAACAAAATGTAATAAAATATTTTTTTTTTTAATGAAAAATCCAAAAAGTCATTAATGATCATGAGCTTTGTTTTATAATTCTGAAAACACATTGTACATTTTTTAGATTCCATATGATAGTCAAATTGTGGTCTCACCTCTCTCCGGTGTCCCATATGTATGAAGGCACAGACAGGATCAAATGCCCCTGTCCCACATGCCAACAGATGTGTTCTGTTGTAAGGGTGGAGGATCTTGATGAAATTTGCACATTCAAACTATACAAAATACATAACAAAACACAAAAAAGACTTTTTTTGTAAGTGACTTGAGATTACAAATGTAGGGAAAAAAATCAGTACATTATTTACTGTGTGTCTCACTGCATTGCAATGCTTTGGTTTGAATACACATTTGATCAAATCTAGACCTACAGTATGTACTTCTGGAAAACTAGTGACACTTGCATAGAAAAATCTGAAAAAATATAATGGCATAAGGTTCTTGTTTAATACACTGATTATTTTTAAATCTGGAACACTAAGAAAATCCATAGAATCCATGTTTTATGGAGTTTTCTTTTTTTTAATTATTTAATTTTTTAACAATACACATCAGTCATGTCAATATACTGTATTGCAGGAGAAACAAAATAATTTATTAAACCATAAAATTGTCTGTTTTAATAATGAGACAATCTTTGTGACTAACAATACAGTTTACAATGCATATCAGCTTTCAACAGTACAATATGTCTGATACCTTGCGTCTTTCGCTATTTTTTCAGGCTGAATAAACTTACCTTGTCTTTGCCTTTCATTTGACATTCCTCAACCTGCATTTGTGTGCTGGACCAGGGTATCTGTAATTCAAAAAGAATATGTCTCCTGAATGGTAAGGTAATTTGGCTGTCTGGAGGAAATTCTGTTTAAGTGTTACATATGCAGACTACAGTATATACTATATCTTTGAAGTACTGCAAAAGACAATGAGTTCTTTTTGAGCAAAAGTTTATTTCTGTTTAACTTAGGGAAATTAACATCTTTACTTTGGTTAATAATTGTTTGTGCAAGAACTAAAGTGGAAATCTTCCTAATTAACTAGAATGCCTACATTCATTCTTCACGTTGGCATTACAAGGCTTCAATTAGAGAAATATTTTCATAAAGAGAGCTCCATTTAATGTTTGTATTGGATGCTAGGTTAGGTATGACTTGCATTCTGAGTTGATTGTATGCCCTTTATGGCTGAGATCTAAACAATAGCTAAACTATTGTAAAATAGTTTGGAATAAAATGTGTCTTCTTTCAGGTACATTCTGTTTTGCAGACTTTGCTCTGCTTGCACTTTATTACAGTATATTCTTCAGTTTATGTTAGATGGGAGAAATTTGTAATTCAATTTTTTAAAGAAAGCAGCAGCTATTTCAGTTTTATTTTAAAGGGGAACTGCAGTCCCAGTTTCTTAGGCCAGTTATTAAATAAATTTATTGATGATATAGAAAGTGTTACAAATTCAAATGACAAAATCATGAATTTTGTGAAAGTACTCTGCTGTAAGTCATCATGTTGTCATAAAGCCCTGGTCTCGCCATGGGCAAAAGTGAGAGTTCACACAAATTATGACATGAAATGGCCCTTTCTGCTCACTAGTGTGTAATAACTAATGCAATGTGATGTACGAGAGAATTAAGTAAGATGTACAAGCTTTGCAGCAGATATTTCACTGCAGAACGATTCTAACATGCATACTGTATGCATATGCATGAATGTTACAGACACTTTGTCATATAGTTTGCTTAAGTCCTATATTCAAAGCAGTTCTAACGCTGACTAATTCTGAAAGAATCCAGCATACTGGATTGTGCAAAATAACTTGGCAAATTATTGCAAGTATTAACATCTCTCTGTTTTGTTTTATAAACAATTTTCCCTATAATGGTTTTGAAACTGCTTTACAGTTTACTTCTAGGTTCCAGAATCAGCTTCTTGTACATTTTTTTTCTTATCGAAGAATTTGATTGTCAGAATATGTTACATTTATTCATCTTAAACATATTGTACCAATGTTTGTGCCCATTTCTGTATGACGTCTTTATACAGTTCGCTTGGAGTTTTTGGCAGACAACAGTGCTGACTTTTCTGTCTATCTTTATTTTGTCAGGATCCATCAAATTTAACACAGGTGTGCTCTATGGAAAATGTCCAGAGAGTAACCAGACATGGAAAGGCTGCCATACCCAAGACTCTGGTGTATGTTGAAGAATTAAAGGATCTATACTGGTGGTCTATGAAGGAACTGTACACTAGACAGTTCAAGGTTGTCCAAGAGGAAAATTTGCCTTGCTAAATGTTAACTGTTAAAAGGAGCTGAAGACGTATTTTAAGGAAGCTCACAATGACCGTAGATTATTACCAGCAAATTCACAGAAAACAATAATATTATGTCAAATTCTAAGAATGGGCTTCTCCCACACGAATGTTGTATATTTTACCCACACAATGTGAGGTATTTGTTAAAAAGTAGACAGCTTCACTCTGAATTCACTATAACAACTGGCTTACTCTTTGATTCTTTTTGCTTAAACCTTTAGTTTTCCTCTTGCTTTTCATTTCCCACGGTACATTTAACAAATAAGCACTGGCTGTAGCTGTTACTGCTTTTGTTAATTGATTCCAGTTTGGTGAATAGATACTGTAAGTAATGAACTCTCTTTGCAAACACAAAACAATTTCTACGTTTCATAGACTGCTTTTTAGTCACAATGTATGACTTCATTTTAACAGTTATTTTTCTCAGGTATTCTATGGTATTCAGTCCATTTTCATGGAAAATAAAATCTGAGCTCTTTTGCTTCAAAGATAACAAAATTGTAGATGTTCACACTTAACAGATGAATACAAAAGCATCCTTTATTTTAATTTTAAAAAGTCTTAATGTAGCTCATAGCTAAAAAGAAACAAAAACATGTTACATAAAATAGATTAATGACAGATGCTTGAAATTTACATATAATAATAATCAAAATCTAATTAAACAGACTGCTTTAGATTTTCTATTAACTTCAATTCTTAGACGTACCTGAATCTTGAAAACCATGAAGCTTCTTCATTTAAAAAAATGAAACAATAACATTTTGGTTACAGTTTATTGAAAATATTTTAAATTTGTGTCATGTGTATCCATTAAAATTTTAATTTCAATCAATTATTGATGTGTTACACCCCTATTATTTATTAATAATAATTGTTACTGTATATTACCATTACTGAAAATGAAGTATTTGTTGTTTATATCAAATTGTGTTAAAAACTGCCTAACTGAAATAAAATCACCAGGTATTTTACAAGGTTTTAGTCTTTGCCGAAATAAAAAGTTCAAAAACTGTGTAAAAAAATTGTGTTGCAGGGGTAGTCCTTGGAGGCCAATTAAAATGTAAGAATCATTGTCAACAGCCATACCTCTCTGTACTCCTCATTAAGTCGGTCCAGGTTCAGAGAATATAGGTGATTTCGTCCTCCTATGAACAGGCGCTCCTGATACTCATCCAACAGCATAGTTCTGAGTTCCAGAGAGCCCCGTGACCCATAAAAGAACGATGTTCTGTTCAAGTTCCAGAGTTCTGTGAAGTACACATTAAATTATGTGAGAGTTCATTTAAATACGTAGTAACATAATGAAGGGCATGATGACTACAAAAAAGCTTTATCAGACTTATCATCACTTAATCTTTAGCTATATTCAGTTTCATTATTTCAGTATATCACCTCAAAGAAAAGAAAAGATGGAGTTTTAATTGTATTTTAATTAATTAAATTTATCAATTTAATGCCACATTTGATAACCTGAATGTGAAAATAAAAGCTTATATTGTAGATCTGACACATTTCTCTCACTCTGAAAGCTTATTTACTTGACAGATGTTTTGAAACATTTACAGTATTGTAAAGCAACAAAAAGCACATTTTTGGATTACTAAAACATGACAAACATCAAAGTACTATGATTTTTGTATCATTTTCTTTTCCTTAAATGCATATTAATTGAGATTATTTGGCTCTTTTGTTATCTCTCTCTCACCTAGGTGACACAAGCTTTAGTTGTACTATTTTAATTGGCCATCTTACCTGCTTATAAAGAATCCAGAAGCCTGCTTACAGGTTGTTATAATAACCTATAAGCAGACTTCTACTTATATACTTATTATATAATAAGTATTATATACTTATAATATATGCTATAGGTTGTTATAATAACCTATAGCAGACTTATACTTATATACTTAGACTACTTATAAATTTATAATCTGTAAGCAGGTTATAAGCAGACTATGAAATCATACCGTACTGTATATTTGTAATTAGTGTTGTACTAATTAGTACTGTACATTGCTGGGTATGGCTTGCTTCTATTTAACCTGCAATATTGTATGCTGGAATCCTTAACCGTGAGGTGCAAATGATATTTTTTTAGTATTAAAGTATTAGCATATTAGTATATAAAGTATTAGCAACATATTTCTGGAGTTAGGTCAGTGGCTATCCATTCTATCCTTTTTCCTGTTTTGAATTGTGCATTTCATTTAAAATCCTTTAAAAATGTATCTCTTTAATGTGTTTATGAGATATTAAATTATGTTTTTCATAGCAGTTAGAAGTTTTGTATATTCATATTAATTTTTGAGATTGTGTTTCATGTTTTACCTTCATTTACCATTCCCTGATACAAGAATGTTACCTTTGTGGTTAAATGAATGAATAAGCAGCTTGCTTAACCTGTGAGTGATCTATGAGTAACTATACAAAAAAAAAACAACAGCTTGTTTTTTGTTTAAAAAACTGTTATTTTAGAATACTGTTCTTCCTCTTTTCTTTATTATGACCTCATGATAAACTTAAACACTATGAAATTATACCCGGCATACATGTTGCATGTATAAATAATTCACACTATATTATTATATTGACCATATCTGCTTGAATTCTTGCAATACCATCTGCAAGATATCAGGATTCAGACCTTCATTTCCTGTTTGTGTGTAAAAGTCCGATGGTCATAGTCATGTTTAGCAACAATCTGCTTGTGATTTTGAAGGCCTCAGATGACTTCAAGTCAAATGCTCTGACACCGTGTTTAATGCCCCTGCACCCCACCCACTAAGACTCCATCCAGTACAGCTAGTAATTACTGTACAGCGGGTTGCTGATCTTTTTTACCTGAAACAGAACCCTCTGTGACTCGTGCCTGGCTGTGAAATGTCTCATGGGATTTAAGTCCGCCCTTGCTGCAATAAAATCATACAGTGCTTAGGGATGAGATCATCGATCCAAACATGACCAGTTTTCTTTTAGAATGGCATTTTCCCTGCTGCTTATTTTATGAGCTATTAAGGCATAAGTTTTGGATAGAAACCCTTAGTGCACCCAAAAACTGTTAAAAATTGCTACTATTCTTCATATAATGTATCAAATTTTAGGTTATTTGAAAGGAACATACAACTTTGTACTGCAACATTTTTGTTAGTTTTATATCTGTTATGTTTGTTCACTTACATAACTATACAAAAAACATAAGAGATGGGGCTGCTGTTAGTGCCTCTTATACTAGACCTTTCTCTGAGTCATCGATAAACTTTTTGATAACACACACACAAAACAACAATGAAGTGCAAAGTAACTAGTCCTTCCAATCATACATACATATACATATACATACTGTATAACAAAGACCCAACATCTCCTCTTCCCTTAATTTTTCTTTTAATTAAGAATTATTACTCAAGGTTTTAACACAATAATTCTTACTTGAGTATATATACACTTTTTGTTACATTAAAAAATGCCTATTATGGGGTTTTCTTTGTCTTTCTGGGTAACTCTGGGTAATCTCTGAGTTTGAACATCCTGGGGGGCAAGTGAATCCCTACACATCACTGAGCTCTTACTGGTTTTGTTTGAAACTGGTTCCCCCAACTGTGAAGTTGTTTCAATGAGATCTGGTGTTGGTTTGAGCATCAAGGATTTGATCTACATGTCTTCTCCAGGTATTGTCTCCAACATATACTGTATACATCCCTGGACCAATTCTTGTAGCTATTCTTCCTGTTTCCCACCTCTGTGTTCTTTCAAGAACTTCCTGTCCCTCATGGAATGTTCTTAATGGCCAATCCTGTCCTGGACTACTGTGTGCACATCTGGCTTCATAAAATCCAAGTGAGACCTTAGGTTTCTGCCCAGAAACAAAATTGCTGGGGCCTGATTTGGTATCATGTGTGATAGTCAATTCTATGTTGTAGTGGAATGTTTTTTTTCCCATTGCTTTCATCAACGTTTTGAATGTTTGGATGCAGTGTGCTGCTAAGCCATTAGAGCCAGGATGATGTACAGCAGATGCAATGTACTTGATACCATTTTTCCTCAAGAACATCTTGAATTCTTCAAGGTCAATTCAGGCCATTTTGAATGTGCATCTACTTGCTATGAGAAACATGTTGTTTAGAAATGGACCTACACAATCTATGTAAATCTGTTGCCACAGCACAGAAGGCCATTCTCAAGGGTGTAGGGGAGCTGTTGGTGGTGAATTTAGCATTTTCTAGCTCCCAACACAGGCTTTGGAAAGGTCTTCAATTTTTTTTATCTACAGTATGCCAGGCCACCACACATAGCTAGGGTACGTGAGACATTTTTCATTTTAACAGTCCCCAATTGTCCCTCATGCAATACATTCAACACTCTAGTCTTGAGTTTTAAAGGAATCACCACTCTTGATCCACACATCAGAATTCCTTGGCAGACTGAGAGTTGTTCCCTTCAAGCTTAAAAAAACTGGAAACATTCAATCGCCCTGAGTTGGCCATCCCTTCACTGTAATGCCATAAACCTTGAACAGTAGAGGATAATTTCTAGTCTCTTTTTGAATAACTGCACTGGTCACTGGCAGCTGTTCTACCAGTGTTGTTTGAAACATATTCAGTGGATGGCTTGTTTTTGTTTTCTGCAGTGTCATTAGGGGACGTTGTGACAAGCCATCAACATTTCCATGAAAAATAGACACCAAAGTTCTGCCTGCGGTGGTCAGTCACTGGTGAGTCAAGGTGAATTTTTAATCATAAAGGTAATGGTGGAATTTGAATCATGTGATCAATCTTTTCATTTCTTGGAAAGCTCTTTTGCAGCTTTCAGACCAGTTCTAAGTAACTCCTGTTTCGAGAAGAGCATTTAGGGGATGAAGAACTGTTGACAGGTTTGGTAAAAACTTGTGGTGATAGTTTACCAACCCCAGGTTTGATTATAGTTGTGAAGCAATTTGTGGTTGTTACGCTCTCAACACTGCTGCCATTTTTTCCTGTGACTTATGAAGGCCATCTTTGTTAATCATATGACCACAATATGTAACTTAACTTTTAAGATATTTACACTTATTGGCTTATTGGCCTTATTGGCTCTCAATTCACCCTTGAGCCCAGTAAGTACTCACCCTACATTTTTCTTCGACACAGTGAGGCACACACACCTTCCCTCTGAAACAGTGAGACACACTTGCCCTCTGACTTATACTGCACTTCAGCATCCATATACTGTATGTATTTAAGACATGTCAAGGCAACTTGCAGTAAGATGTCACCCAATTATAACTGTGCACCACTGAAAAATTCTCCATGCTGTCTGACCTCAAAAGATCTATAATGATCTAAAGCGCTCTATTGTTAATTAAATGCATACAAATTATTTCAAACAAAAGTACAATAAAGCACTTCAGAAGTGCAACGTGTTAGCACTTGGAAGTTTGAAGACTCAGTTTTTATCAGTTCATAAATCTGTGGAATTCCTCCAAGCTGTTACAAATCACATATACTCTTCAGTTGGAACTCTAACCTTATAACCTTGAGATGATGGAAGATGTTAATATAAATTCTGTTTATCTTTTTATAACCACATATGGTTATTATGGTGTTATGGTTTTTTACATTATAATTTTTTATCAGTGTTGCCCTGTCCTTCAGAATGTTATGTTGTGAGAATTTTGCAAAAATGGAGAGAGAGATTACATAAAGAAAGATTTTCATTTCTCTACCGCTCTTAGGACAGAAAATGTACAGTACATGCACAGGATATTTGTCTCAAATATATACTGCAGTTAATCTCTAATTTGTTTTATTCTGGAAACATTTCTTTCTTTAAAAGTTTATTTAAAAAATCCCAAATCTTGCATGATTCACTAATCCTGGCATTTTACCTTTATTTGCTTTTAAGATGGAAATCGTTAAACACATTAAGACATATTCTGGATAATAAGTAATTAAAATTATCAATTATAGTAGCAATTATATTCACCACTTTTTATTTGTAATTGTACCACTTTCATCCCAAAGCTTCCAAAAGAGATTGGGATATGTATAGGAGCACCTACTTCACCCAGCACTGAAAAGCAGCATCCACTAAGCTTACAGCTATTATGCACCGCCATCCTCCTTACACACCTGTAGTGATCACATCACCAGGTAAATCTAATTGTAAATTTAGGTATACCATATTCAAGCACAAAGTGGTATATAGCCAGGATACTGTCATTAACACTTTTACTTTTTTAAATGCTATAATATTCCTTACATAGTTTACA